TGTGCGTGAAGGGGAGACTACTCCCTTGGCGGATGATGAGGAGCTCGACGAAGCTGACATGGGTTCTGCGGAGTAGCTCACCGAGGGTGATCATTCCTCCTCGCCAGTTGCGGACTCTCCTCCAATGCCAGCTGCAAGCTCGCTGCAGATCCCGCCGCCTTCGCTCGTTGTTCCCACTATTAGTGATGCCTCGGAGACGGCTGGTTCCAGCTTGGAACCCCCGCGTTGTAACCCCTCGCATGATCGACGACCACCATCGTGTCTTGCTTCTTGAGAGGTAGAGTTACCCAACACCTCTTTCACTTCTCAGCATGTTCAATTTCCCATTTCCGATTATGTGAGATATCATCACTTTTCTGCTAACCATTGTGCTTTCCTGGCTGCCATGAGCTCGCTTGTTAAGCCACGTCATTTTTTACAAGCGGCACAGTATCAGGAGTGGTGCGAAGCGATGTAGCAGGAAATTTCTGCTCTTGAAGCCAGTGGCACATGGATCTTGGAGTATCTACCGCCTAGGAATCGTTTGATTGACTGCAAGTGGGTCTACAAGATTAAGTTCAACCCCGACGATTCAATTGAATGGTTCAAAGCTCGCCGTGTTTCCAAAGGATTCACACAAGTTGAGGGTGTGGACTTTCACGATACTTTTGCACCTGTCGCGAAGCTTGTTATTGTTCGGGTTCTTCTGGCTGTTATAGCACAGAAAGGCTGGTCTCTCCACCAGCTCGATATCTATAATGACTTCCTGCATGAAGAGTTTTACATGAGAGTACCTCAAGGATTTGCGAAAGAAGGTGATACTCAGGTTTGTAGACTCCCCAAATCCTTATATGGCCTTCGTCAGGCATCTAAGAACTGGTATACGAAGTTCATTGCTACCTTGATCGAGTTTCGTTTCACTGTTTCCAAGGAGGATCCCTACCTCTTCTTGTATAAAGCGTCGATCGTCTTTATTGCAGCCTTAATTTATGTCGATGATGTGGTGCTAACCGGCGACAACATCGACGTCATAAGTCAGGTCAAGACTTTCCTGCATGATCGCTTCAATATCAATGATTGGGACCACTCAAGCATTTTCTCGGCATCGAGGTCTCTAGATCTCCTGAAGGCATTGTTCTTTGTCAGCACAAGTACACCCTTGATATCTTGGCGGATTCCGGGATGGGCGCTACTCGTCCAAGTGGCTTTTTGATGGACCAGAACCACACTCTTACTCGTCCTACTAATGAGCATGCGGATGACGTGAGCTCCTATCAGCGCCTCGTAGTTCGTCTCCTTTATCTCACCATTATCCGGTCTGACGTGAAACAAACCTGATATCACCAAACACTCTTCACTCCTTCCAATACCTCCTTAGAACTACTCGCCTTCCGGCCCTTCCCTCAGAAGCAACATTCCCTTCTATCCCCCACCACTTGTAGCCGCACATATCGTATCTGTCATCTACACCTGTTAAATAGTAGAAAAAGTAACATTTTATTTTTTGCAATTAGTCATTGAACGTGGAAATTTTATTCTTCTAGCACAAACGATGGATATTGTTTGCCGCTGAATTCTTGATTTGGTTCTAGAGACAGTGAGTCCCAATTTTTTTATGCTTCTTTTTCTACTCCAAAGTCCCATGATTATAAGGAAACTACAGAAACAAGTTTCAGAGATTTACTATTCATTCTACTTTAAAAATTTGTCAAATTAGTTTGTGGTTAAGACAAGTGATCTGAAAATATAGGAAAATGATAGTTATTGAAAATATATTATTTTATATTTTAAAGAGTGCACTTTCATTAGAAGATTTCTAACAATTTTACACTACATCTTCAAATTTGCGCTCAATTTTTACTTTTTATGCTTCAACCTATTTATGGAATCACGCCTTCGATTATATTGGCTATCATAGAGATATGATCACGTGAGTAGAGTTGATAGATTTTATATAGTTAAGGAGTAACTTTAGATTTTGATTATGTACATGACTAGTTCCTCCTTTGGAATAGGGATGACAATGGAACGGGTTGGGTTTTGCCAAACCAAACTCCAAATTCATGGTGTTTGTACCATCTGGCTCGAGGTATGAACAATAATGATTGTTGTGTGGGTTGACTCGTAATCCGTTTGTCTGATCTCGTCGGGAGGGAGAGAACCTGTAGAAAGTCGGGGATGCCCCCCGGACTAAGCTGCGACGATCAAGTCAGTATATTATGTAGAATGATTTGAGAGAACAAGGTAGAGAGATAAAGTGCAGAGATAGTGGAAAGTGGAAAGTGAGGAGAGAGAAGAAGTCCTGACACGCTAAAACACAACACCAAACTGCGACCAAGTGTAATCGCAGTCCGGAAATGCAGTAACAGGAAAGCTCTAATTGTCAACCCGGGGTCTAGATCTACTGCCTACTCCGTGTATATCTGTTATCTAGCAAACTAAGTTGAGTGATTGTGATTTTAACTAAAAGTAGTAAGAAAGCAGGAATGGTTCGGTTTTCTAAAGCAAAGAGTCACTCGGGATGAGTCCCCCTAGCTCCTTAGTTAGGTCTCAGTTGTAATTACACTGGGTTGATTAACTGTTGATTAAACTGCGGAAGCTCCGACAGTAGTTTGGAATCTCTTAAGGTGACCAAGCCCTCTCAGGCAGGCTAACCGACAGGCGACTAACCTTCACCGGGATAGACTGCTGAGGCAATAAGCATAGAACTCCATTACTGGAATTGGGTTCCAGTACGAAGCAGTAGATTGATTAACTCTCGTATAACCAATCTACCACTATCGATTGATGAGGCTCTTACAACATAATCCGATTCTATCTATCTCAGGTTGCAGCAGAAATCAAGAAAAGATGATCAGACTTTAATTGACTCAATGAATCATGCATCAAACGATTAAAATTAAACAGTATAACAATCCCAAGTCATTACAATCAAGATTCCTAACACATGGAACTAGGGTTCTTCATACCCAAGTGAGAGAAGGTTCTACTCCATAGAGAGCGAGAGGAAACAGTAATCAGAGTAGTCATACTCATAAAGATGAGGAAAATCTGCTCTGGGATGATGATCTTCACTCCTATGATGATCTCCAAGCTCGATTGATGAAACCCAGCTCCAAAATCACCTCTAGGATGTGTTCTTTGCACTTTCTCTCTCTAGGGCTCTGTTTTTGCTCCAAAAAGTCGATTCCCTCTCCTTTGGCTCGAATTTGGGTTAAAACCCAGGAGTTCCCGACCACACGGCCAGGCCACATGGCCGTGTGGCTTTCCCAGCTGCCCGTGTGAGTGTGCAAAACAGCGCATTTCACTTAAGTGGCTTCAGGTACGCTACACGGCCAAAACCACACGGCCGTGTGGATTTCCAGGATGCCCGTGTGAGCTCCTTGGACTTTCCACACGGCCAAAAGGGGTCCCTTACACGGTCAGTGTGGCTTGCCCATGCAATTCGGTGCCACATGGCCTGGTCACACGGCCGTGTGGGTGTTTAGTTGTGTCCGTGTGGCTTCCTCAGCTTCTCGTCAAACGTCCAATCTTCATCCAATCAACCCCGAACTCGTTCCCAAACCTTCATTCACGTTCTAGGACCTGAAATATCACAAACAAGAACAACCTAGTGAGAAATCGGCCTAAAACACGAGAAATAAGACTCAAACGGTGTAAGAATGGTGGACAAAAACATGTGTATATATAAAGTCATAAAGTCCCCTCCCGTTGGAGGGTTTCATACCTTTATATACTCGTAGCGGGTTTCGAGCGTCATACGTTATCGATTACTTAGTCTATGCGCTGAGTATCTTAGTAACACCCCCAACAATTGCCCCCAAGCTGGTGGTGAGTTTTAACTCACCTCTAGCTTAATATATTTTTGAAAAAAATCTTGGCCCATATCTTGGGTAGGAGCCCTATGTACCACTAATTGCCCCCCGGCTGGTGGCGTGCTTAGCTGACGCGGTGCCAGCTTCATGTGTCTTGCCCCCTGTTGGTGATTTCATTAAGGCATTGAGCACTCTTCTATTGGAATTCTTCAAGGCATTGAGCGCTCTCCTATTAGAGTTCTTCAAGCGCACACAAGTGTGCCCTCTTTCATTGGTGCGCTTGTGATAGCCGCACGATTACGTTACGGGGTTACCGCGCTCATTTAGTGCCCTTTATTGGAGATAGAGGTAGTTGAACCTCTCATATTGTAGATTTACCAATGCTCTTATCGAAGTCTTATTTGTGTGTTTTCAGTCGAGTCTTACATGAATGGAGGTAGTCGAGCGCTCCCATATTGTAGATTCACCAATGCTCTTATCAAAGTCTTATTTGTGTTCTTTCAGTCGAGTCTTACATGAATGGAGGTAGTCGAGCGCTCCCATATTTGTAGATTCACCAAGGCGTTGTGCGCTCTCCTCGTCGGGGTTTATGTACCCTCAGTTTGGAGTCTTCAAGGCATCCAGCACTTGGTGAGGGCATGGCTTTGACTAGTCGAGGCACGGGCCGTGATTATTAGCCCTCACCCATTGTAGATTCTTCGTGGCGTTTCTGATCGAAGCACGGGCCGTGATCATATGTCGTTTGGTGAGGACATGGCATTGACTAGTCGAGGCACGAGCCGTGATATTAGCCCTCACCCATTGTAGATTCTTCATGAAGTTTACTAGTCGAGGCGCGGGCCGTGATCATATGTCGCTTGATTGAGGTACTCATCTTCCATATTGTTTGGTACGCATTGTCCCCCAATAGCGTCATTAACGCTCATGAAAGTAAAATATTTAAAAATTTCACAAAGATAGAAAGGGGCTGGTGCGGCGCGGGCTCAGATGGGGTAAGGCGTGCTGTGATCTTGCACGCGAGTCTAGGTCGCGATCAGAAGTTTGGGCCGCGTTGCTGTAGTGGGAGAACGGAGACAATGCGCGGACTATTATATATATATATATTTTCTTTCCCTGTTGCTGTGATTTCTTATTCTTGGCGCCGAGTGCAAATTACCTTTTGCTTTTTCAATTTCTATATATTCTCTTGATTGGCAGGTTCGGTTGCCTGTGTTGGCGGAGATGATTGGTCGGGCGGCGATGAACTCGAATTTTAGATTGGGTTGGACGTGCGTGCCAGTCGATGAGCAGATACGCGCACTACCACTTTGTCGTTCGCCTCCGCTCCCGAGTCGGAGCTCGCGTAAGTGAGAGGCGGATGAAAGATGGTTTTGGGCGAGGACGATTTAGAATCCCGCGGTCGCGCGTCCATTGATGAAAGCATTGGTAGCAGCGGAAAGGACAAAACGTGGAGGAGTGGCAAATGTGGCGCCGCGACGGAGCCAAAATCGACAGATGTTATGGCCGTGAAGTTGAGGAGATCTTCGAACAGCAAAGTCGCCGGGATTGGTCCGTTATTTTCCTTTTCTTTCGCAACTGTCAGGTTCTTCTTTGCATCTTATTCGCTCTGTTTTGGCTTGCAGATCAAGCTGATGGTGGTGATGGGCACGACAACAGGTGAGAACGAACTAAGAATATAGAAAAGTAGATCTGGTTTTTATTTTATTTTAACCCTTTCGCTTCTCGATCGTCGGAATAGATGCTGCCTGTTGTGGTGGATGACATCGCCGATTCTCTTCTTCCCGTGGCTGGAGTCGGACTTCTGATCTTCCTCTTCTTAATTGCTCCATTCAAACCCCGACATCCCTCCAGTTGACGACCAGTAAAAGTCACGGGGATCAGAGTTTTTGTTTTCCTCGGTTTGCGTGCCATTCCACCAGAGACGAGTGAATTTGGTTGTTGGGATGGAGATTAACTAGATGTTGACGATGCTTGCATCTACCTTGAGGAAAAGTAGCTTCCCTTCCAAAAGTCGAAGATATGGGATGGAGATTTGGTGTTCTTTTTTTTTGGTTTCTGGCTTGGCGTCTGCAATCTTTGGGTTCCTTGATCCCCGTACTTTTTGCTTCTCCCATCCTTCAAAGATCAATCGAACAATAACGTTGAATCAAGCCCCACGGTGGGCGCCAATTGTTTGTACCATCTGGCTCGAGGTATGAACAATAATGATTGTTGTGTGGGTTGACTCGTCATTCGTTCGTCTGATCTCATTGGGAGGGAGAGAACCTGTGGAAAGTCGGGAATGCCCCCCGGACTAAGCTCCAACGATCAAGTCAGTATATTGTGTAGAATGAGTTGAGAGAACAAGGTAGAGAGATAAAGTGTAGAGATAGTGGAAAGTGGAAAGTGAGAAGAGAGAAGATGTCCCCTCCCCTTGGAGGGTTTCATACCTTTATATACTCGTAGCGGGTTTCGAGCGTCATATGTTATCGATTGGACGAACTATTACTTAGTCTATGCGCGGAGTATCTTAGTAACACCCCCAACTCATGGGTATATATCCACAAAAAATCGGGGTAAAATCCAATGGGTTTGAAAAACTCAAACTCAACCCAACCCGTTGGGTAGCCGCGGATTTATGGATACTCATGGATTCTGTGGTTAGAAAATGCACAATAACAAGTCTAGAATAAAAATCTAACATCATTCTCACTATACAAATTATCTAAACAAAAAATACCAATCTAGAGCATACAAGCAAACCACAAAGTATCTATACAAATTGTTCAACATTAAATAAACATCCATAAACAACACTAGTTTTTTACCCGGCCTGTTGGTAGGCGAATTTCATATTATTATTTATATTAATTATTTTGTATGGTTTATTATGTTGGATCTTAATATGTAATAGTTAGTACAATAGTTTATGATATTTTGATTCTCTAAACATAAATAATGTCCTGAAGGTTTATCACATTCCATTTAGAATCATATATCAAGATTTGTTATCCAAGACACTCTATCTTATACATATATCAATATGTGATTCTCGAGTTTGGACGAACTCTTAACCAATTGATGAGAGTTCATATTATTGGATAAAGATAATTCATTATTGGATAAATTAAGTTTATCCAAATTGAAACTTGACACACATCATAACCCTTATTATGATGAAATTCACTAATCTTCACTCATTTCCATTGTGGATGTTCATGAAGGCTTGGTATAGTATCTTATGTCAAAATTTGTCTATCAAGTCATTCAATTTTAATATCTTAGACAATACGTATCAATTGCAAATTTTTTAAGTTTGAACTAACCCTCAATCCATGGTTGTTATCTATAAGGGGTCGTTTGGAAGTTGCGATTATTAAATAGATGTATTGTTGAGAATGCATGTATAATATTATACATGTATTGTCGAATTTGATGCATTGTAGAATACAACGTTTGGTATGTGTGATTGTGTATGTCGCATAAGCTAAAAGCTGAGACAAAACAATCTCAACTCAACTATCTCAACAATCACAACTAAAAGTTGAGATATAACAATCACTCAAAATGAGTGATAGTTTCTGTCACATCACAGAAACCATCCATGTATTGTTTCTGCTAAAAAAACAAAAAAACGATGCATTGTAAACAATACATGCATAATGACAATCTCAACAAAACTATCGCAACTTCCAAACGACTCCTAAAGGGGTCGTTTGGAAGTTGCGTATGTTAAATCTTTGTATTGTTATGAATCACTATGATATAAATGCATGCATTGATACAATAGATGTATTTTGAAATTACATTGTTTGGTTGTTGGGATTATAATTTATGAATTGATTGTTATAAAGTTACTTTATAAGGAAATGTCATATTTGTCCTCCACTTTTAATATAAAACAAAAAGAACTATGGACATAATTGGAAAAAGTAAAGGTGCTCAATTATTAAACCAACAATCACAACAATCTCAACTTTTAGTTGAGATTGTACAATCCCTCATTTTTGTTGATTGTTGGTGGGACCCACACAAAACAATACATGCATTGTTTTGCAACTTGACACTTCCAAACGTTGTATTGTGGACAATACATGTATTTAACAAATACAACACTAACAATCGCAACTTCCAAACGACCCCATATATATGTTTGTTTAGAATCTCAATCTAAGAAATTCACATACATTATCAATAGTTCTTGTCTTAAAATGATCATTCTATGTATAATTTTCCAAATGTTTGAAAGTGTACTCACTAAAATTTCTTTATCTTTGGTGTGATCTTGATACAAATATTGTGCATTTCACATTATATATAGAGATGTTTATTGTAATTTCAACCTTAATTAATACCATTGAACTCAGCTCGTTGAGTGGATATGAAAACAAATTTTTTTTTGCTTGGGTAAATCGATGTTAATACAAATTGCTTACTCTTACAAACTAAAATAATTTTCTTTTGAGACTTTGATTTTGGGAAAGTTTTTGTTGTAACTAAATTATGGTATGGGATCACAGGCTCACAGCCATATTACCAAATTACTTCTTACAATGTCTTACTGAACTCATCCTTATTAAAGATTCTTCATTTTAACCCAATACCTTGGTTTAGACTTGTGTAACTATAATTTTTTTGGTTTAGATATATCAACTACACTTATGTTTATTTATTTCCTCAATAATCGAATTTGGATTTGTCTACCAAGAAATTCAAATATTAAACGAAAAAATTTAACCTTTATTTGATTATTTCCTAGATCACGTACATCAATTAAAAATATTTCTCAAACTTTTACATGAGTGATTTTTCAAGGTATCTTGTGTCTCATCCTAGGATGTGAAGTCAAAGTTTGTCAACAATCACACTTAACTCATTTTGAAAATTTCGATTTATAATCCTTGACAATTAATAAATCCAAGTCTGAAAAATAAAATTTCTTGGCATATAACGTAAGAGCTCAATAGAGTTTACTCAATCAAAATAATCCAGATCAAATATTAGTAATGTTAACTTGGGATACATGATAAATTATTGCACCTTTGATTCCTGTGTTTTCACTTAATCAGAATAAATAAGAAGCTATTTTAAGAAATAAATATTATTGCTTGGTCAACTTTCTTTTCAAACCTTTCTTGTTTTCTCTCTTTCCATTATTATATTTTTCTCGTTAAAATATTATTATTTATGTATGTGTTCTTTTAAAATTTTCATCAAAATGTAGCATATTTTCAACTTTTAGTAAAAATTTACTTAGTCAGCTTTAATCGGATATGTTTTGGTTTAAAAAATGTGATATGTGTCACTCTAAAGACATTAGTCTACTGCCGCTTACATCGATATTGCAAAAGCAAAAATAAAAAAGAAGTATTTGATAAAAGAAAAATAATTATTAAAAATAGAGAGATAGCAAATGTGATATATGTTACTCTTCATACATTATCTATTACTGTGCAAATCGATATAATGCAAACACAAAAAAAAATTATAGATAAAAGAAAATGAAATATTAAATGAAGAGAGAGATAACTTCATAAATATATCAAGTACTTTTTCTTGGTAAAAAAAATTGTCCACCTTGGCAACTTGTGAACTTTTCAATTGCTTATGTGGCAAACAATTACTTTTGAATTGTCATAATAGTATGTATAGATAGATAGATAGATAGATAGATAGATAGATAGATAGATGATTAATTGAAAGCGGTTTACTCCTTGTCAACTAACCTTCTTCACTCTCCACTACATTATAATTTCATTCTACACAATAAGGAAGAAAAAATTAGACATGTATCCACAAATATAAGGAAGATTAGTTGCTTAAAAAGATATATATTGCTTCGAATATTAAATATACCGGCAATACATGAAGCACAATCTAGATCTTAGTCATCATTAATGGTGGCATCGAGGTCGAGTGGTTGTAGGGCTAGGGGGCAGTTTCTCTTCCTTTCGGAATTAGAGTTAAGAATTAGTATGGGGAATGCCAAATGTGAAGTGAGTAAGAGATTTGTGGTTGGGGACGAGTACGGATTGGATATAGCTAAATCGGATTCCAACGCAACCTGTAAAACAAGAAACGTATTTAAATTTGGTCATATTGGGTACCCATGGTTTCTAATCATGTTATCATCTCTATTTGGGAATGTAGCCTTCTAAGTAGACCTAGCAATCGGGCCGGATTGGGGACTTCGATTATGGGTCGGGTCATGTTTGGTTCGCTTATTTTGGGTCAAATGTTGATCCAGCCCATTCGGTTTGGAGTCGGGTTACAGGTCGTTTCAGGTTATGAGCGCTCTCAGAAACAATATCAAACATGCTTCATATTTTCTCAAAGAACACAAATTTTTACATATGCATGACAATAGTTTACCTAACCAGTGTAGTCAAAATCGCGCTTTAAAGCGTAAAACCGTATGATTTTACGTTTCTAGGGTAGAAAAATGTTTCAAATCACTAATAAAATAGTTTTTCACTCAAAATCGTTCAAAAGCGTATGTAGAATCGTTAAAATCGGTGAAAACGGATAAAATCACGTTTTCATACCGTTTTTGTACGATTCCAAGCAAATGAGAAAACAGTTGCCACTCACTCAAAACGACGTCGTTTGAGTATTTTGGACCAAAAAAAAGGGGGAAGGGGGTTATCGGGCTGTCGCTTCCAACCAATTCCCCCGCAATCACTAATTCCCTTCATCTCCATCCTCCATCGGCGCCCAACCTTCTCCAATCTCGCCGAAACCCTTCTCGAAGAACAACCCATCGCCGTCGCTGCGCAGCAGGCCTTCCAGCGCAGGATCCGCCATCGTCTTCCACCGAAGCTCTAGCACGTAGAACCTGTCGCACTTGCCTCCTCCAGCGCTTGTCGCACACTCACCGATCGCCCGTCGCCACTCGCCGGCGCCACACCAGGTAATCACTTGTTGTGGTTGTGTCATGTGTGTGTATTATTGTTCGACACAAGCTGAGGATTTTTTAGCAGTGAAATTGGTGATTGTAGGAAAGTTGAGGTGCGACAAGAGTTGTATGCTCTGGTGGACCAATTACTTGAGGCCTGGCATCAAACGTGATAACTTCTCCCTTCAAGAGGAACACACCATCCTTGAATTGCACAACCCTTGGGCAACATGGCATTTTTTGCTTCTAAACCTCTTACTCCCCTTTCCCTTGCCCACGACCATTTTATTATACTTTCTTTCCAAATTAAAAAAAACATGGATGCGAGAGAGGAGAAGAGGCTTATAAGCTATTTTAGGGAGTTTTGTGATTGTTCGGGTTCACCAAAAATATGCTTGTTCGGATGTAGTGATTTTGTTATATACAGCCTGTTGAGATGGTTTGAGAAAGTTGAGCACTTAAGATTTTGTGATTTACAGCTCATATTGTTTATTTTATGCAGGATTTTCAATTTCAAGTATGTCGAGTGGGGGTACTAGTGCAAGCAATACTATATCCAATTCTATAGTGAAGAGAAAAAAATGCACAAGGCAATTGTCTAGATCCCGGTTGGCATCATGGTATAGATGTACTCGGATTATTAAACTCCTATGTCATTATGTAAACTTAAAACTAGCTTGTGAGAATTTGGATTCTTATCTCGTTTGTGGGTTACGATTTATGTTTATGAACTAATGTTAAGATGTTATGAGTTTGTTCTAATTTAGACATGAATTGTAGGTATTGATTCTTTAATCTAAACTTTGTTCACTCATATTTTACATAGTTTATGTCGTACTTAACAGATTTTTAACTATTATACATGATGCATTAAAAACTTACGCTTTTACGTTTTGATTCACCGCTTTTCGATTTTACCCCTTTTCCGCTTTTATGTAGAATCGTGCTTTTGACTGCATTGTACCTAACACATGTCAATTAACATATTCTCAAATCCTCTCATACTAATGAAATGAAATACAAATTGCGCAAATCGTCAAAAAACAATCACAAGAGTAATACTACTAGAAGAAACACATGATATTTTATTCCAAACATGCCATTTAAATCCAATTTATGAGTAATTTTATCATTTTGGAACTGATATGTAAAATGGAACGAGTCTAACGGGTCGACCCGCTAACCCACCCAACCCGATCCAAAAAATCACAGGTTATCGGATTCAGATCATTCGGATTTCAAGTTATAAATTTTTTTACTTTCGTACAGTTTTGAGTCGGGTCAACGAATCGAATTGTAAATTGCCATGTCTACTTCTAAATTAAAAAAGGTTTTGATTTTTGAAGCAAGCAATAAAAGCGAAAAGGCCGTTTGGTCAGTGAGTCATCGAATTTGATTGCGATCAAGCAAGAAGGTAGAAACTAGAAACAACGTTAGAAGTTTAACTGCCAAAAGAAAAGAGGAGGGCAAAATGACATTCCTTTCACTTTCGCTTCCCACTTTCCGGCCCCAATCCAAATTCCTTTCTTATTGTTGTTAGCACTTAGTAGGCCCATCTGCCATCTGGTACATTACCCTACTTGGTACATCAAACAGCAACCCCACACTTCCCAGTTCCCACAATTTGTCCCCTTTCCGAAATTCTAATCCATCTAAGGTTTGCTAAACCCCTATGGAAACCCCGGTTAAATCCGTTCCGACCTGAGTTGGACTTCAAAATGGTCTCCAGAAAGCCCCCCAATCTGACCCCTAAAGAGGAAGAAGAAGAGAGGGAGAAGAGAGGATGAGGAAGGAAGGAAAATAGTGGGTGGATCATGGAGGTTATGTAGATTTATTTTGTTGAAAATAAGTTTCTAATAGATATATGTAAGATAAATTTTATTTTACTCATTAAATCTTTAATTACTACCTTATTTGTATATATCTTTAGAAAACATCTAAAACGGCTCAAATTGACCGGACCCCGATCAGATCATTAAACCTCAAACCCTTCTTGACCGGCTCAATGACTGAATCATCTCATGATTGAATGATATCAAAGCAAAAATAAATTTACTTTACCATTTGTGTCGATTTTCCATTGTATGATTTCAACTGTTAATTGAGATCGTTGGAATCGTTTTTAACAGAGATTGCAGAAATAGTTCATTTGGGAAGAAGGGACGCAAGCCACATTTCCGATATAAAGTGACTTACTTTTTAATTATTAAAAACACGATCATATGTATCAAACACACTAATCTATAATCACCAAATTCATCAACATATGTATATCCAACACATTGATCACAACACATCAATTTAACAATCGGACAAACCAAGCATATCCCTTAAATGCAAAACTTGTCAGCAGTAGAGTGCAAGAGCAGAAGCTCCATCCATACACACACCTCATTCAACAGCATAACCAAATCCGAACCCGGTCACAGCAGATACCAGAGGAAAACAGCAGACCAAGGGGAAAGAACCAACTATGTAATGCTATTTAGTCCCATGAGGGTGACTGTGACTGACATCTAATAAACCGTAGACCAGAGAGATGTAACTACAATCTACAATAGCAGCTAATGAACTTCTACCAAAACTGAAGGTGACTAGTAGGCGATGCTTACACACTCAGCGCGACTCGCTCAGCTGAACTTCTCCTGATAGCACCTCTTATGCATAACTCATTCAACAACTCCAAGGCCTCCTTACCTAACCCTTCTCCTGCTATACCTTCAATCAAAATGGTGTATGTAACTTCAGTGGGTTTACACCCCTTTGAAACCATATAACCCAAGAAGTCGATTGCACGAGCACTCTGTCCACCCTTGCACAGTCCCATCATTATAGAATTGTAAGCCACAGCATTTGGCTTAATCCCTGATCCATCCAAGTCACGGAAAAACTTGATCCCTTCATCAACCTTTCCTTCTCTACAAAGCCCACCAATAAGCGATGAATAAGTGATCACATCCGGTTTCAGACCTTTCCCCCTCATCTCATCTAATAATTTTGCAGCTTGACCTGTCTTCCCCACTTTCGAAAGCCCATCGATAACCGTATTATAAGTTATCAAAACGGGGGAGCAGCCTTTGCTACTCAGCTGGTTGAGTATCTCAACTGCAGCATCAACTTTTCCATCTTTGCACAGTGCAGTCAACAAAGTGTTGTAAGTCACAATATCTGGATAACAACCTCTAGACACCATCACCTCAAGATACTCGATCGCCCTCTCCATCTTCTTCTCCTTGCAGAAACCATGCAGAAGTGGGTTGTAACTCAAAGAATTAGGTGTGCATCCATGGCTTGACATCTTCTCCAAAAGATCAATCGCTCGACCTAATAAACCCTTGCGGCACAAGAAATTAATTAAGATGTTGTACGTAACAACGCTTGGTGAACAGCCTTTACCAACCATTTCGGATAAGAGCTTCTCAGCATCCATCCACCTTCCAGTACTACACATGCCACGCAAGATAATGTTGTGAGTGATCACATTAGGGTGGCAGTTATAAGATGGCATGCTGTTCAAAAACTTAATAGCCTCATCCAGCTTCCCCTCTTTGCACATCCCATTGACCAGAACATTATAAGTAACCACATCAGGTTTGCACCCTCTACTCCTCATTTCATCTAATAACTTCAATGCCTGCCGAAACCCACTCTCCCTACATGTCGCCTCGATCAAAATCGTGTATGTGATGACATCAGGCTGACAGCCTTTCTCCAGCTGCAAGTCGAGAACTTCCATGGCTTGCTCCAATTTCCCATTATCACACAATGTGCGAAGAATGGTGTTATAGGTAACAACATCAGGCAAAACATCACTACTCATTCGTTCTAATACCTTCAACGCATTCTCAATCTCACCTGCTTTGCAATACCCACTGATTAATACATTGTAAGTCACAACATCTGGAGATGCACCAGAGCCCTCAACGATATCCATCACTCGAGTAGCCTTTCTTGTTCTCCCTGTCTTGCAGAACCCACGAATGAGGCTCGTGCACGCGATTATGTCAGGGATTCCGCCCTGAGAAACCATGTTCTCGAGGAACTTGAACCCTTCCTCGAGCTCCCCATTTCGAACTAATTTCCGGAGATGATTGTTGCCATCAGGGTGCAGTGGATTTGAGGAGATATAATGACCATTTGTTATAGGCCCATTTGCCTGTTTATCTGAAGTGTAAGCTCTCCCATTGGAATGCAGAGTTTCTACATGAGAAGCAGCAAGAACTCTACTTTTTCTCAGCTTTACAGTCCCCACAGAAACCCTGGACCTTGATCTAGTTCTAGTATTTGCCCTACCTCCAAAAGACCCGCCGTGCCTAGTGGCGGTGTCAAAGTGTTGAAGCGAGTAAAACCCTTCATGGGTATGGTTAGTATGGACCACGAAATCCATCTTCGAGACCAATTTAAGGCGCCCTGGAAAAGGTTAACAAATCATTCAAACGCTGGCCAGTCAACAGGGTACACAGAGAGAAGGCCAAAAAGAAGAAAAGAGCCCAGGACCAGGAAAAGCTTACAAGCTGTCGTCGCCGGGGTCGAGGTGTAGACAATCCCAACGAACCGCGGAATAAAGGCTGGGGTAGAAGATTGATTTCTTGTTCACAGAGGTGAGAAGGAAAAAGAAGAGACTGAATGCCGTGGCGGCGTGAAGAGGTTGTTGCTTATCCGGTCGAGCGTCGTCTTCCTCGGTAGAATTTTGCAGGGTGCGGGCAAGCCTAAGCCGAGAGAGAGCAGCGTTTTTAATATCTAAAGTCTAAACAATTTCAGAAATCAAATATCTGATTAGTCAGTCCAAGGAGGCGGCCTGCTATTTAGTCGGGCTCAAAATTTAAGAACTTCTTCTTCTTAGTTCCCGAATCTCATGTTCGGCCCACGAAGCCCAACTAAAACTCTACCTCACCAGTCACTTCCAACCAACCAATTTGGTGTACGGGCTCACACATAATTTGGGCAAAATGCTCTATCTCAACGGCCGAGCATTTCGGGTAGGGCTGGGAAACGGTGCGGTCTATGGTTCAGACCGTGAAGTTGAAGTATAAACCACAGACCAGACCATAAACTATACGGTCCGGTCCAGACCACGTCTGTGCAGTCTGGTTCGGTCTGATCTGGTCCAGATAGACCATACTCAACAAAAAATGAATAATTTGTTTAGTCAACCACACAAAAAATTGAACCAATAAACAAGGAAAATAATGTTATTTTCCTTAACACATTAATCCTAACATGCATGAATAATTTTGATACCCTAAATCTTAGTACATAACAAATATACAAATAAAAGCATTCCAACTTACACTATAACGTCATAAACATTAACATAATGTCATATGGAGACACAATTATCTCTACTCACTGGTTAAATGTGATTGTGAATGAAGGAGGGATGAGATTCACAAAACTAGGGTTGAGACTTGGGTGTCGTTGTGGGAGTTGTGAAAGTGGTCAAATGGGCTTTTAACACGTATTGACAAGTAAGTTGAGTCCACAGTTTGGTCCGGTAAACCGCGGTCTAGACCAGACCATACCAAGAAATCAAAACATAAAATAATACAGACCATAGACCAGACATACCATACTTAACGTTCTACGGTCCGGACCAAACTGTGCGGTACGGTTTGGACCACGGTTTTTCTAACGGTCTGGTATATTTTCCCAACCCTAAATTCGGGCCGACCTGTCGGGTGGTTGCGGCTACATTACACGTTTGGTCACTCAACTTATAAAAATATTTTATGTTTGCCACCCAAATTACGTTTCTTTCTTATTTGCCACTAACTTTATGAATCTTTTCACTGTTAGTCATCCACCGTTATACTCTGTTAAGTTTGTCTTATGTGACAATCAATAAAATTTGACCGTTAACTAGATGACGTGAAAAATAAAAAATAAAAACCTAAAAAAATTATTTTTTCAACTTATCATTCCACTTATTATGTCTGTTATAAGATTAATTATTTATTTAAAATTTAATAAATTAAAAAATTTAATTATCGGTCTATCATCGCCTGCTCCACGCTCTTGGAGTTCCCCCCGATATACAACATCTCGTTGTGGACTTGTGGTAGTAGTTCGACAGCAGGGCGACCAGATTATCCGATAAGAAGACGGTGCCTTCGTCACCCATCCGGCGGGTGTGGAGCTAGAGAACCCGAACCACATCCATTCGGGGTAGGAGAAGTGGGTTAGGGAAGAGTTCAGAGCGGGGGGAGGCATCGGGACTTTGGACGTCCTCCAGCCACACGAAGCCGCGAGTGCGGTTCAGGGACCACTGAGGGCGAAGAGAATGTGGGAGAGGTTGGTCGGGGAATTATTAGGGTCCCAGCGGTGGTCGGCAGTGGTAGCAGCGTTGCGGGCGATGGAGGAGAGGAGGCGGTACAAGGCAACGATGGGGGTGATGCCGCCGCTCTTGGGTCGTAGAAGGCGACGTAGAGGCCGATGTAGAGGAAGGACAGGATGAACGAGAGAATGAGAGATTTCCCGACGACGGAGATTAGATGAAATGGCTTATCATCTGCCTTGTGCTTCATCATTGTCGGGGTCGACGGTAGCCGTCATTATCAAATCTGAATTGTGAACTCCGATGGGATTTGTGGGGATAAGAACACGATTACGATCCAATTGAAACCGCTTCTCGCGAATTATCCATTTCCCCCTTGGGGAAGAGGAAGAGCCAGAGGCGAGCCGTAGATCGAGGGTTGTGATTGAGCTTGCCGCGGTCGCAGTCCTTGTCTGCTCCATTATTTTTGTAATTTATTGAATAATTAGTATGTTAATAGACAACGTAAGTGGAATAACTATTTTATAGGAGAGACATAACTATTTTATTGTGCGGCTTATTCAGTTCTTGTCGTTTTTTTCCATGAATGACATAAAGCCAATATAAAAGAGTATATATACAAAATCCTTTCAATTTGTGACTAGGGTAACACTAATGAGTGGCATATTCCTATTACATATACACACATCCATCTACAAAATACTATAAGGCAATGTCAAAATACAAGTTTTGCCACGTCAGCCTCTGCTGCAACCGCCACACAGTGCGGAGGGTCTTTGCTGTAAATTCCCTAATCCTTCTTCACTCTTCAATTTCCCATCGGAAATCGAACGCCTCTCTCTCGCCGTCAAGCACATTCTGTCTTCCAATCCCTACTGTTAATTGAAAATCTCTCATTCGTCGTCCCAACACCATAATCGAAGACCTCTCAGCCCCTTCTCTTTCTCTCATTTTTTCTTCCAATATCCAACCGGAAATCGAACGCTTCTCTCTCTATGTTCCGAGCCCTATTGGAAATCGTAGACCTCTCACTCTTCGTCCGAACACAATAATCGAAGAGCTCTCACTCAATTGAAGACCTCTTAATCTTCTGGTGGCGCCCTATCTATATTTCCCGGAGCATGGTCGTGATGTACTCTTTTAGCCAAAAGAATTTGTCCTCCATTTCCAACACTAACACTCGATGTAATATGCCCATCCTATTCTCTGTTTCATGTTTTGCCAGATTGTATGTAATGTATATACTGTCTGATAGTTATTTAATTTATGTGTTTCATTTTCTTCAATTTTTCAGTTTTGCTTTGTAGCAGGTAACCTCTGTGTCACTTTTGGATAGGAGCATATTGAATTTCTATGTTTGTGGCAACAACAATTTAAAATAATGGGATTATGATGCTGCAACCTGAAGGCTAATTCCTTCCCAGGGCTATCAACTAATGCCTTCACTTTTGCTTTATGGTTTTGTGTTTCCTTCTTGATTTAGCTTACCTTCATCCACTAAATTTGCCTTTGGTTGGGACTCCATTTAGCTGTGTAAGATATAGTTTTCTATTTTGCCTTTGCCCAACCTGTTGCTGAAAATCAGTTGTGTAGCTAAGGGCCACCATGTGAAGCTTCTGTTTAATATTATGGTTTTATATATGGCATGTTTAGTTTTATCTTTTTATTCAGGTTTCTATTGAAACTCAGTATCTAGGTTGTTTCTCTTATGGATTTTCCTCTTTTGTTCAGTTTGAATGGATGACAATATGCAGGTTCTTTGCCTGCAATCTTTTCTCATCTTTTGGATAGTTCCCCTATGGATTCACTTATTTTGTCTCTAAAATTTCATTCATAACTACCAAATCAATCTCAAGTTTAGTCCAGTCAGATTTTAGCTACTGACATGAGTTGCTGCATTTTAAATATAATATGATTGATGATGATATTAATGATAAGCTATTGACAAACTTTGCTGCATTTTTACATGATCTGATTGTTTGTGTTTGCTGTCTTTGTAGAGTAGAACTTTGACTCTTGATGTAACAGAAAAATTGTAGAAGTAATTACAGCCAAGAGATGAGCATAATAAGATCTTTATTGATTCTAGATAGGACTTGATTTATTACGTCCTACTACTACTTTAACATCAAGCTCAAACTCTATTGTTTGCTTCGCTTCAGCCTGTGTAGTTGAGCTTATTGCCATTCTGACACGTTCATTATTTGCTTACAATTTGCAGAAATGGATTTTGTTATAATTTAATAATTTCTATGCAACTTTTTGATCAAGTATTTGTTGATCACAGTGAATGTTTCATCACAATGACAACTAAAATGTATGTTTGTATCAGGTGATAATGCTTTTATGTATTTGTAATTTGAGTTAACCTTGAAATAGGATCTCATAAGCTATTTAATGGCTAGGTGAGCCTCAACGTCATACCTCTCCAGGACATGATGAATGATGGGAATGGCATTAAGACCAAAGCTACGTCTTATGAGTCATTCCTAGCTCAAGTTCTTAACTGATGCAACCTCAAATAACAAATGTATGAAACCATTATGTTTGTAGGCTTCATGTATCCTACAGTCTTAATCCACCATAGCATTTGCTCTAATTAGTGGATGAAGGGAATCAAATGAGGCTATAACGAAAAATGAGAAGCTCCAAAAGCCAATCATTTCAAGTGATGTCTGTAGGAACATAACATCAATGCTAACAGATGTCAAAAGGCATGTGGACTTGATATGTAAAATCAAAAAAATCAATCTAACATGCTTGGCAATACAACACTAAAAATGGATACGTTACTTTTATGTTGTTGAACCATTAGTTAGAGATTATGCTTTGCAATCCTCCTCCCGTTCTTCAATTCTAAAAACCCTGGCCAACGGGCGGGGCCAATGCTAGTATATATCAATATGGCAGGTTTCGCTGAGACATATCCCACGAGAAACAAATTTAGTAGCATATTATCTCGCTGAGAATGAACATCAAAATGATTGCGAGGAGGCATTGCTAGGCGACTTCACCATGTGCCATTTCAAAAATGGCTCAAGATGTCAAGGAAGGAGAAGTAATTCGTTTGCGCATATAACTTTTGTAGTTTGTTTGTGTGTTTGCATATCCAGTTCAACAAAAAGAAACGGATGTTGAGCGGTTAAGGGTCGATTCTAGAATGAGTAGTTTATATTCATTTCCCATGAGTAGAATTTAGTAGCATATTATCAAGGTGAACAAATTTTCACAAACTAATCTAATTATGAAGGTATCTTCTTTTTCTTTTAATATTTCATTTTTTCTAACCAATAAGTTTTTTTATTTGCATTATATTGATTTATATAGCAGTATACTATTTTTTTTATGGTTAATCAAAATTGTATTTGAAGCCCGGGGAGTTGCAACTCGCAGCCTCCCTCTCAAAGTATCAACGTTTACACACCAGTATCTCTATACTAGTAGCATCTCTATAGACCAAGAACAGAGACTATAAATCCACAACTTCTCTAACTATCCTCTGCATTTCTACTATACTTCCTACATATATCTTGAACTCCTGCAAAATCGCGTTTGAAACTTGAGTAGGGTCTGAAACTCTTCTATCACCATAAACTCGAGCACATCTTTCCCTCCAGATATAAGCGCAGCACATTATCCATAAAAGTCTTCCTGCTTTAGCTGTCAAGCTTGTACTTGACCATCTCTGCGTCACCCAAGCCAAATGAGAGTTCCAATCTGGGAATTGAGACCACCTGCAAATTTTCTTCAACACCATCTGAAAGATCCCAGCACTATAAGAACAAACAGAAAAAAGATGATCTCTATTTTCCATACCACCAGGGCAAAGGACACAGCAGTTCTCACTTGCCAATCCCCAGCTAACCAGTTTATCCTTTGTGGTAATTCGATCTAAAATAATCAACCAAACCAGTAAACTATGCTTTGGAATAAAAGGCTTTCCCCACAGCACAGAATACCATTCAACAGGAGCAATTGGAACACGTATAGAAGTCCAAACTAGCTTAACAGAGTATTTCATCAATTTTTGTCCATCCCAAGCCAGATCATTACCTGAACCTGATATGTGAGTATTAGCTAGTTCTCTGCACTTAAGTACTTTCCTCCATATCCATGAACTGACTGAACTTGCAGGGATCTCCCAAATGTTCCTCCCTTTAATTCTGTATTTCTGAATCCAGGCAACCCACAAGGATCCTGCCTCAGCCAACAAATTCCACAAATGTCTCAATACACAAGCCCTATTCCAAGTCTTGAAGTCCCTGATCCCTAACCCCCCTTCTGCTTTGAGCAAGGCAACCTTAGACCAAGAAACAGGAGCTTTCTTTCTTCCATTCAACCCAACCCCCCATAGAAACTTATTGCACACCTCTTCAATTGCCTTCAAAACTCTCATTGGCAATAGAAAAACAGTCATCCAATACTGGAACACACTAGTGATAACAGAGAAAATCAGTTGGATTCTCCCAGCATAGCTAAGGGTTTTTGCTTGCCAAGTTGTAATTCTCTTAGTAATTCTACTTACCAGGTTACTGCAATCTTGTGCTGACAGTCTACCAGATAAAAGAGGGACACCCAGATATTTCACTGGCAGCTCCCCCAAAGGGAATCCTGTTATGTCTGAAATCCATTTCTGTTCCTCCTTTGGGATCCCTGCACAGAACAACTGACACTTGGCCAAGTTGCATCTCAAACCAGACACATGATAGAACTTATCCAATAACCTTTTGACCCCAGCTACTTCCCTAACTGATCCATTTGAGAGGACCAGTAGGTCATCTGCAAAACAGAGGTGGGTGATCTCCAGGCTTTTGCATCTTGGGTGATATGGAATCAGGTTTAGAGATACATCCCTAGCTAACATGCATGAGAAGACTTCCATGGCAATAGTAAATAGGTAGGGAGACAAGGGATCCCCTTGTCTTAACCCTTTGCCAGCTGGGAAATACCCACAGAGACCTCCATTGAATGCTACACTTAGCATAGGAGTTGTAATACAAGCTTCAATTAACTTGATAAACCTCACAGGAATATTCATAGCCCCCATAACTTTCAACAAAAATTTCCAATCCACAGAGTCAAATGCCTTCATCAAGTCAATCTTCAAAACACATCTAGATGAAATGGAGACCTTATGGTAGTCTTTAACTAGCTCTGTTGCCATAAGAATATTGTCACTAATAAGCCTACCTCTAACAAAAGCAGATTGACTTACCCCAATGAGTTTTGGCAACACTAAGGATAGTCTATTTGCTAACAGTTTCGAGATACCCTTATAGACAACATTACAACATGATATTGGCCTAAAATTCTGCATTTTATCCACCACTTCAAGTTTAGGTATCAGAGCTAAGATTGTAGAGTTTACCTGTCTAGGCATAATTCCAGATTGAAAAAAATCCAAGACAGTGTCTTCAACTGCTTTTCCAACTACATCCCAGTCCATTTTGAAGAACTCAGCTGTATACCCATCTGGCCCTGGAGCCTTGTCATTCCCC